GCGACATCTTTGCACCCACCGGGATTCCAAGATAATTTAAAGGCAAAGCACCTTCTTTACAATGCATCCATCTAGACATACCCGCCACCTCCTCATTAGAGACACCAACACCCATGACTTTTCTCTTTTCAAGGTTCAATTTAAGTCGGAAGCTAATGGAAACACCTCAAAATTCTTATTAAATTTGAAGAATTTCCCCGGGACCATTCACCAAAGAAGATAGCATCATCTGCTTATTGGAGGATGGAGAGGTTTGGACCATTGTTAGGGAGACTAACTCCCCTATACATTCCTATTGAAAGTGCTTACTCAAGAGAGATATTTAGGCTTTCAGTCGAAAGAATGAAAAGGAATGGAGAAAGAGGATCCCCTAGTCTTAGCACCTTCTCAATAGAGAAATCATTTGTAGGAGAGCCATTTACAAGTATTGAAATCTTTTCGGAAGAGATACAAGAAAGGATCCGCGTTCTCCATTTACTACCACAACCCATATTTTGCATTGTGTTATCAAAAAAAGCCCAATTGGGAGTGGCAAACTCCTTTTCGAAGTCGACTTAAAAAATAAGCAACTTCCCCTTACTACTTTTAGCCTATTTGATGATCTCGTTGGCTATTAAGGGCCCGTCTAAAATGTTTCTACCTTTGAGGAAGGTCGTTTGCTCCTTGTTAATTACATTCCCAATGATTGTTTTAAGCCTTTCTTCAAGTAGCTTTGAGATTATCTTCATCAAGCACCCGATCAAGTTGATAGGCCTACAATCCAAGATACTTAGGGGGTCCTTGGTCTTGGGAACAAGAGTAATGAACGAGGCATTACTCCCAAAACTAATCTCAAAGTGTTCTTCAAAGTGTTTCACTGACATATAGATATCCATCCTAATAACATCCCAAATTTTTTTAATAAATGCAAAAGAAAATCCATCCGGACCTTGGCATTTTGCATTACCACAACCTAACTTCATCAAAGGTAAATGCCATTTCCAACATGTTAGTTTAGATAGTCATAATTTTCAAGAATCTTTCACTGGTAAAGCTTGGTCGGTCTTTAAGATCTTCTTGGACTTTCTGTTTAAAGTAGATGTACACTGCTTCCTTTATCCTAACAGGATTATTCTCCAAAGATCCGTTGATATTAAGCCCAAAAATTCTAGAGTTTCTGTTTTTAGAACTTACCAGACCCTGGAAAAAATGTGTATTCTCATCTTCTTCGAGCACTCATCTGCATTAGGCCTTCTGACAGATGTTATGCAATTTTTGGGCTACCATATCATACATCTTGGCAATGCACTCATATCTCTCTTTTATGGAATTATCACCAAGAGGTATGACTTCAGCAATGGTTTCAATGGCCAAAACCTATTATTTTTAGAGCCGGATGTCTTGATTTTTTATATTCATTAACTTTTTTCCACCAGTTCCTTATCTTACCTTTCAAAAACCTTAGGGTACGTTTGGTACAGAGAAATGGAATTGTTACAGAGAATGGAAATGCAGAGAAAGAGAATTAAGCTGGAGAAAGAGAATTGACTCCAATGTTTGGTAGAACTCCTAGAGAAATGTTTTTGACAATCATTTCTCTTGTTTGGTTGTATTAATCAGTGAAATCGAAATGAGTTTTTTTTACCTTGTTTATTCATTTACAAACAACATTTTTTTATAAAAATGCATTATGATGTACATCTTAATTAGTCAAAATATGCATCTTTTATGTTTTTTATTTTTTTTATTTTAATATTAATTGTTACTAAATAATTTATTTTCTAATCAATTAATATTATTTTACATACATTTTGTATTGGAAAACATATTTCTAATATAAAATAATAACTTACAAATAGATTTTAAAGAAATATGCAAATCATACTATTCAAAAACTATGTCCAATGTAGGATATATACAAAAAGTATAATTCAATATTCCTTACAACTAAAAAACATAACTATGTCTAATATAAAATATGCAAAGAGTCAACTTTAATATTCGTAAAAACTAAAAAAAAAAAAAAAAAACATAACTTAAAATAACCTAATCATGATATTGAGACATCCCCAATCATTTCCATGTAACAAATATTTTCTTCTTTTGTCATCTTAAAAAAACGTCCGGTCACGAAATTGATCTTTGTTAAACATGTCAATCGCATGAATTCACTAATTGACATTGCTATTTGGCATGCGTTGTACACCTTAATTCGCATCATTCCAAGCTTGTATGAAGCTTTTATGATGGTTCAAAGTTGGACAATTATAAAAAGTGCTGAAATAACAATCATAACAGCCCATGTTTGTGGTTGTATAACTCAACCAAAACTTAACCAATTAAGCTGTTTTTTTATTCTAAATCGTAGACAAGACAGAGGAGTACAATTTGAAAAAAAAATTGCATCATTCCAAGCTTGTATGAAGCTTTTATGATGGTTCAAAGTTGGACAAAATTTATAAAAAGTGTTGAAATATCATACAACAATCATAACAGCCCCTGTTTGTGGTTGTATAACTCAAACAAAACTTAACCAATTAAGTTGTTTTTTATTCTAAATCGTAGACAAGACAGAGGAGTACAGTTTGAAAAAAAAAATTGCATCATTCTGAACTTGTATGAAGCTTTTATGATGGTTCAAAGTTGGACAAAATTTATAAAAAGTGTTGAAATATCATACAACAATCATAACAGCCCATGTTTGTGGTTGTATAACTCAACCAAAACTTAACCAATTAAGCTGTTTTTTATTCTAAATCGTAGACAAGACAGAGGAGTACAGTTTGAAAAAAAATTACATCATTCCGAGCTTGTATGAAGCTTTTATGATGGTTCAAAGTTGGACAAAATTTATAAAAAATATTGAAATATCATATAACAATCATAACAGCCCCTGTTTGTGGCTATATAACTCAACCAAAACTTAACCAATTAAGCTGTTTTTTTATTCTAAAACGTAGGTAAGACATAGGAGTATAGTTTAAAAAAATCGCATTATTCCGAGCTTGTATGAAGCTTTTATGGTGGTTCAAAGTAGGGTAAAAAATCAAAAAAAAAAAAAAAAAACTACAATAGTAAAACAATTTCCATTGTAAAACATGTTTAAAGAATCGATCAAAGTAGGGTAAAAATCAGAAGAAAAAAAAAATTTGCAATAGTAAAACATGTTTAAAGACAGGGGCGGATTTAGAGGGGGTCACCGGTGGCACCGTAGGTAAGACATAACAGCCCCGTTCCGTTTGGGGGAATTTTTTTACAAACATCGGGGGCGGGGACGAGGGCGGGGGCAAGGTTAACCCCCGTTATAATTTCGGGGGCGGGGACGGGGGTTGGCAATCCCGTCCCGAAACCCCCATGGGGACCCCGTTAATAAATTGCACATATATTAATTATATAAATATAATAAAAAATAACATGATTTGAGCTTCCAAAAGTCATCAAAAAAATGTTTTTAAGTTGTTAGTATAACGTTTTTAATATGGCATAACTTTTTTATTTTTAACATGTAAAATTTTGTTATAAATAATTATTTGTTACCTAACAAATAACTTCTTTTAGCCAAAAAAAAAAGCAGCCCAAAATCAATCGGGGGCAGGGGACGGGGGCGGGGGCGGGGATAATAAAGGGATTCGGGGGCGGGGGAAGGGGATGCACTCCCCGTCCCATTTGCCCCCGTTGACATCCATATCGTTTTTTGTTATCTATCCCCCCCCCCCCCCCCCAATCTTCAATTCAAGTAACCCCAAAGAGTTTATAAAGTTATTAAAAATAAAGGTACCGTTAGCATCAAAGTTGGAACCCTTTCTATCGTCGACATTTTGAACCCTAACACCCATATATGATTGATAGAAAGAAAAAAAGTATTTTCATGATAAAAAACGCCAAAGAAAAACTTTGTATGCTTACGTCTAGACATGTGTATCTTTCTTAAAGGAGACTGATGACGGCATCCTCAAATGTGCGACTTATATATGTTTTGATAATTTATTAGTGAATCTAAAAGAATATATGATTTGAATTTCTGATTTTATTATCACAATAAATAAAATCACATAATTTAATAAGCTTAATTATAGTTTTTTTATTAAACATATTTAAGAAAGATAGAATATAAACTTTACTTTTACTAATTTGTACAACTATCAAATGGCTTGGCTTGTGACCCAACTGTATCAGGTGTTTATGGAAATGTGTTCATCAGCTAAATGTTTTTTTTTTTTTGAAAGTTGCATATAAACCGTTGTATATTTTGATTTTATAATGAATTAATTTTGTTTATTTTATCTAAAGAACTATCTTTTTGAAGAAAGTTATAATCCTACTTCTAAATAAAGATTTAATCATATAAATGTAGAAAAGGGAGAAAAGTATGTGAATCCCAAAATGGGCGACACCAATATAACGTATGTGATCTTAATGTATCTTCCTAAAATGGACCGCAAAGTGGTAACATTCAACTTCTGTCCATTTGCTTGTGAGAAAGACAGCCTTGGCATCTTTATGGTCCAATTTTGAAACATTCAACTTCAAGAAAATGATCATTTTCATAAAGAAAAAACAACCTTTGAACCCAATAAAGTGACAATTTAAAAAGGCACGCTTTTAACATCCAACATATTGAAAAATAGCCCTTTGTTGCCTTAAACAAAAGGGACTCTTTCCTTTCTTAATGGGAACGATCACAAATCGATCAAAATATTTTATGAATTCCTCATACGTCGTGTTTTCATATCATATTTCTTTTATGAAGTAGTTTGTTTTCTAGTGTAGCTGGTTTTCATTTAAGTTTTTAGGGTGATACGAGTTCTTTGTTTAAAAGATTTAAAGGTTGTAAATTTAAGAGTATTTTAAAATGGGAAACATGAGAACATAAAGTCTAGGATCTAACAACACTCATCTTTGTCAAACATTTCTTTTAGATAGTGGGGTTAGAAACACATATTCAAATCCTCCATCTCTCTCTCCAATAAACACATAAATATTGTCAAAGCATAAATAAAGACCCTTCACCCATAATTTGTCAAACTTCTCCCTTCTCCTCTTCCTTCTTCTTCTATTCTGCTTGTTCATTTTACACTTGTTCTTCTCCATCTTCAGCCATGTCTGAAGACCAAAGAGATCTCCACTACCATGATCCATTCCATGATGATCAAAGAACTAGTGAGACTCTTTTTTCATTCTTTGGCCCCAATTCCACAGTTAGAGACGATTCGTCACCACCAAATCATCAAAGATTTCATGACTACATGGGGTTATCTCACTTCTTCAATGGATCTACTGGTTATAACACATCTGCAACAACGTTTGGTTACTCATCTTCTTCATCACAACAAGTTTTTTCTCTTCATGATGACCAAAACCCCGTGCCTATTCCTGGAAATTTGGTTGGTGTGACTGAGATGACTCCTGTAACACCCAACTCTTCTTCGGTTCGTTCTTCATCTACTGATGCTGCTGATGATGAGCACGAGCTCAATGAAGGTAAGAAGGAGAATCGAACTAAAAGCATACCTGAAGATGTAGAAGACAGCCCTAAGAAAGTGTACGTTTGTATGATTCATCGATCACGAGCATATTAGGGTCCATTTGCAGATTTGCTATTAGTTCTTTTTTTTGCTGGATTTCAAAATTACGTTCTAACTCTCTAAACTATCAATAGGTCTAAGCAAAAGAAGAAAGAAGAAAAGAAGCAAAGAGAACCACGGTTTGCCTTTATGACAAAGAGTGATATTGATCATCTTGAAGACGGATATCGATGGAGGAAATATGGACAGAAAGCTGTAAAGAATAGCCCTTATCCCAGGTACATACATATATACGTATATACATATACATATAATATGTTAATATATATATTCAATGCTTTGATCACAAAAGTCTACTTCGTTTCTTGGATTCTGATTATAACATAATAAAATTGACAAGTAAATCTTGAATGGTTTCATTTATATAATTTAAAATGAAACCCTATATTCCCTGCAACTAACAATTTTGTATTTAATCTCCAAAGTCATTCGTTCAAGTTTGTTTCACATTCTTGTGTAAGATTTTAAAACGCAAGTGGGAAACTGAAGTCTTGTTTCCCATTTTATGTGTGCACAAAAATGAAAATCGCTTTGATCAAGAATTCATGGATGTGTGCAAAAATGAAATCTTTTTGATCAAGAATTCTTGTAAGAAAAAGTTTTGATCTGTGTTACAGAAGCTACTACCGATGCACAACTCAAAAGTGCACAGTAAAGAAGCGGGTGGAAAGATCGTATCAAGATCCATCCACCGTGATCACTACGTATGAAGGGCAACACAACCACCACTTGCCAGCAACACTGAGAGGAAATGTTGGTGGAATGCTGTATCCACCATCTATGATGGTGGCACAAGGTGCGATGATGGCAGGTTCTGGCGGCGGCTCAAGCTTCTCTAACGAGTTTCTGGCACAGATACCTCACGGTTTCTACAATTCTGGTGGTGGTGGCGGCGGAGGGGGCGGTGGAGGAGTTGGAGGTGGATTATTGAACTACAATCAAACCACCCTAACCCCACTTCAGCAGCTTCAGATTCCTGATTATGGGCTTTTACAAGATATGGTCCCATCTATGACTTTTAAACAAGAACCCTAAATTCAATCAATCATGCATCTCACCCCACCCTCACCCTCACCCCGACCCCTACCTCATGCTATACAACCTCTGACCTTTCCCCTTTGACTTTCACTATTTCATTCATGGATGGGTGTTCTTTTTGCAGTTGAGAGATCACCCCCCATGAATCTTAGATCATGTCTCTCTCTGCACACACAGATATACAACAACACCTACTTATTTAAATTATGTAATTACACTGCTTGGTGCACGCACCTATAATTATTTCTTTGTTGATTATATAAAAACTTTTTCACTCTTCTAGACCTCAGACTTTATGTTTAAATTCCAATTTAATTTTCGTTTTGCTCTAAAAGTGAATTGTCGTTATGATGAATAGTATTCCATTTAAAGCATTTAATGTAATCAGTTGTTAAACAACATATTTCAAAGTACATATTCATGTTATGATAAATTGATTATTATATTATTTTTTTTTGTTGGAACCACGATAATTATGTCACTATATATAATAATACAATATTTAATTAAATTAATAAGATCATGAAGGTCTATATCACAATTTAATCTTTAATTATACATTAGAAATAATTAATGTGTATACTTATAACTTCATACTAATGTCAGTTATACTATTTTGGTCTTACTTAACGAAAACAATATAACTAATAGTATTATAAAACTAAAAGAATAAAGTTAATGAGTATGAAAGCATTTTTTTCTTTTTTTGTTCAGAAAAATCATCATGTCATGTTTTAATTAATTGCATTAATGTTGAAATATTTATGAGCAAATGATTGGTTTTGGTGTAGATCATTGACAATGATGCGTAAGAAAGAGAATAAGTACTATATATGATGGCAATTTTTTTATGAAACTTATGAACTAACATTGTTAGCATGAACGATCGCGATTGCCAAAAGAATCAGGTTAAGCCGATACAGTCTTATATGTAAGCTTGGTTCATAAGAAACAACCAATAATACAAAATCCACGAACCAAGTCAAACTGAAAACGACATAGACCTAAATGGTGTACTTTTGCGGGTGAAAACTTTTGTGGAAGTAATAAGGAACACACATGTTATAAATATGATAATAAACGGAAGTAATAAAGAACAACTAATAACACAAATATATATACCGGTGAAAACTTTTGCGGGAAAAAAGCCATAAGAACTTGATTGACATTATAAAATTGACTAAAAGAAGAAGGGATTACATAATTGACTATAAGAAGAAGTGATTCGTAGATTCGATTATGGTTGGGTAATATTGTATTAAAAAGGTTGCATTAACAACATATATTCCAATGATGGTATTTGGGTAATATTTTAACAAACTCCACTTTGAGACAAATTTGATCTTTAACAAAAGAACTTTCAAACGTTGATAAGAAATAAGTTGAAAATATAAGTTGTTGAAATAAGTTGAAAATATATACCACAAGTTGAAAATATAAGTTGATAAGAAATAAATTGAAAATATATATATCTGTAGTGCCAACACGACAGCCACTAAGTGTTAAACTTAAATGTTAAAATACCTTGCACGATATTAAATTTATCAAAATACCTAATGGTGTCAAAAACTCCAAATATAATACCATATCAAATGCAATAAAATACCTTATGGTATCAAATGCTCCAACATACCATACAATACCAAATGCCTCAAAGTACCATAGGATGTCAAATGCTACAAAATATCTTAATGTATCAAATGCTTTAATAAGTCGGAAATCTTCAAATTTATTTTCTTCAACAAATGAGTAATAGGATTTCGGGATCTCAATACTGCCAAAACCGAAAGCGTATAAAAGTATGTAGTACCTTCCAAACATTATGGATCATTCAAAACAAGATCTATAATTCATGCAATAAAAGAAAAAAAAATGACCTAAAACTCCAAAACAATTCAATCCACAATGATTGTAGATGATTCCAAATATATCTTTTCTAAAAAACAAATTAATGAGTTCGTCTCTTGCTTTGAAAACGATCTAGTGCATCATCATAATAAGGTAGAGTCATTAATACCCTCATCTTATCTTGCTATAATGATCTAGTAATAGAAGATCATACTTTATCGAAACTATGTTGTAAAATTGATTATAACATGTTGCAAATTTAAAGGGAAATCAATTTATAGGGTAGCAGGTTTATAAAATAGAAATTGATTTGGACTCTAGAAAATCCAAGGATGATAATTGATTATGTGTAGGCAAGTTTATGATAAGAGAAACACGGTTAAGAAACCTTTGCAGATCAAGGAAAAAGGGTTTTAGAAAGTTGGCTTTCAGTACTATTTTGTTATAAACAAGGATTTTAATCCTGTACGTTGCGACTATAGTTTAAGGAATATATTTTTTATTAAAGTACATTGCTATTGACAAAAGAAAACCATTTGTAACTCTCATAAAATGAATGCAAAAGTAAAGCTTAACCTTTTACTCGGGAAACACTTGTAAATCATTATCATATGCTTCAAAGAAATCATTTTTAATTTATAAATTTAGCTAAAAATGGTACTTGTTTTGACTATGATTCCTATCTCAAAAACAATGATAATGAATAAGAGAAGAATACAAAACAAACATTATATTTTGGGTAGTTTATGGTCTAACCATTAATTTTTTTTAGAATAGCAGCATTAAAATTAAAAGCTAGCAACAGCTAGAAAAAAGTACATTACGATATTAAAAAAAGAGGGATTTTGCATCCTACTGACCCAGGTCAATCTAAATTTAGGGAATCTAGTGCTAATCAGGAAAAAAAAAGAGATTGAGATTGAACAAAATCTCAAAGAATCGCCTTTACAAGTTTAACTTTCGCAAACAATAATTTATTGCGAAAAGACCAAACCGCCCAAAACAAAGTAAGACCAACCGCATCCAGACAAGATTTCACATTACGAGACAAGCGAGCTGAGTCAATCTCATTTAACCAATCTGGAATAGAAGAGAAAAGCGGCAAATCCAATTCCCACCACGTAGCAAGAAGACTCCATAAGTCCAACGTCATACCACACGAGAAGAAAATGTCATTAACTATTTCAACATACGAGTTAAATCGGACACAAGACAGAGGCAATGTCAATGCCTCGTCTGTCTAAATTAATTCTAGTAGGCACCTTATTCAATTGCAGTCTCCAAAACAAGATATTAACTTTAGAAGGGGCAAAATGATTTCATCTAGAAGGTTGAGCAGAGGTATCCAAAATCACAGTATCAATAAAAGATCGTGCAGAAGCCACAGTAAAACCCCTAGATACATCAATCAACCACATCCAAGAATCATGATTGTCCACAAGAATCACGTGAACAACAGAATCTCTCAGAGCATCATATGGGAGCATCTCCTCACCTCCCCTAGGAGGCCTTCGAAAACCTGAGAGCCAGTCGGACAACCCTAAGCATGTCAGAAACCAAGCAAGATTTATCCAAATCAAGAGCAAAAACCCTAGGGAAGTGAGATTTTAAAGGGAGAACACCACAACAAATATCCTCCAAAAAAGAGTGGAAGACCCATTGCCAATCTTCCTTTTGCATAAAGACAAAAGATCAATGCCTTTTTGAGCAAGCATTCTAGAGACATTAATAATAACCCTCCATGGAGAAAAATTAGAACCACTGGAACTTTGCTTATCAATACCCCCATCAACCCCATAATATTTTTTATGATTGTAACCCACAAATCATTTGGTTTAACTCCGAATCTCCGAATCCATTTGAACAGAAGAGAGCAATTAAGAGAAAAAATGCTCGCAATGCCCAAACCACCTAAATCTCTACTTGCCATACATTTTTTCCAAGCAACCCAAGTCATCTTTTTGTCTTCCAAATCACCACCAATAAAAAAAATTGTTTTGACGCGACTCCAATTTCCTCTACAACCGACATTATATATAAAGACATATAATAAGTAGGTAAATTCTCAATGACTGCTTTGATCAACATCAACCTACCTCCATTAGAAAGTGTTCTAGCCTTCCAACTGCATAGTTTTGTTTTTAATTTATCAACAACTTCCTTCCATTTGCAAGACGGGATATATTACAACCCACCGGAACACCGAGATATGTAAAAGGGAAACCCGAAGCCCCACACCCCAATATAGAAGCCATTTTATTAATATCTTCCTCAGACACTCCAATCCCCAACAACTTGCTTTTTTGAACATTTATTTTAAGACCAAAGGAAAGATAGAAACACTGCAGCATGCTAATTAAATTACTAACATTATGAAAAGACCACTCCCCCATAAATATGACATCATCAGCGTACATCAAGTGCGTGGTCATAAAAGAATTAGACCCAATAAAAGAAACCCTGAATAAACCAATAAATAAAGTCTTGTGAATGACCGCATGTAAACCTTCCATAGCAAGAATAAAAAGGGAAAGGGGACATAGGATCATATTAACGAAAGCCTCTGCAAATCTCGAACTCATCGGTAGGAGAAGCATTAACTAGAATCGAAGCACGAGCATTCAAAAGAAATCCTTCAATCCATCTTCTCCATTTATAATCAAACCCTAGCTCCATCATAACCAAATCTAAGAAATCTCATCTCAAAGAATCATAAGCTTTTTCAAAATCCACTTTGAAAACTAACAAAGTTCGATTTTGTTTCCAATACCATTCCATAACTTCATTAAGAACCATAGGGCCATCCAGAATGTTCCTACCCTTTAAAAAAAAGTCGATTGCTCAGAATTAATGCAACCACCAATAACCAAACTTAGAAGAATAGCTAACAGTTTTCCAATAATTTTGTATTGACATCCTATAAGACTAATAGGTCTAAACTTAGAAACAAACTTTGAGGAAGTAACTTTAGAAATCAAAGCAATATAGGAAGAGTTGCACCCCTTAAGGAAATAAGAAGCGGTGAAAAGGTCCTCAACAAAACGAAACACATCATCCTCAATGGTCGACCAGAAAGCTTTGAAAAGGGCAAAAGTAAATCCATCAGGACCCGGAGCACGATCACTGCCAGACAGCACGTTTAATTTCGTCACGATAAAATTGTACTTCTAAACTATCATCTTGACTAGAAGACAACCTATTAATCTAAGTTAGCACCACACCAAACCCGAGGACCCTCCACAAGTGAAAAAAACGATGTCGAAAATGATCAAAAAATTTAGCTTTGATCAAGTTTGGGTCATCCAACCAGTTCCCAACTTTCACAACGCCATTAATCGCCATCGGCCTTCGTTTTTCCTTTAGAATACCATGAAAAAAGTTAGTATT